TGTGCAACATTTCTACTTTGCATCTCCTTCTGTTTTGAAAAATCTGCATATTTTTCATGAGGCATTAATGTCTTTTCCTACAGGTTTAGCAAGGAAAACAGAGAAAATCATACTCCATACACCTTCCTGCCCTTTGGAGATGGACCCCGAAACTGCATTGGAATGAGATTTGCTATGCTTAGCATGAAAGTAGCAACGGCTGCCATCCTCCAGCACTTCATTTGTCGACCCTGTAAAGACACTCTGGTTAGCTAACTCCCTACACTTGTTATAAAGATAGCATTAGCCATCTCTATCTAAAGATTTACATATCATGTAGTCATAAGCAAGCAGTTGAAGTATTATCATCCTTTTAGTTCTTAAACTGGAAGGATGTGTTGTTTTGGATAGAATAGGAGAGGTCTAGGACCCATTTTATGTTTTTTTTAAATGTATGTTTTGACGCGCTGAAAAACGTCCTACGCCCGAAATAGAACTTGAGCTTCTTTGGGGCGGATTTCACGTCAAACATGCTACTTACAAACGCCCAGGTGTGACTGTGAACCCAGCCTTAGAGCATTAGCTTAATAGTATGGGGAAGGTTTATAATCTATATCAGTTCTTTTGCTGTTTGTGTTCCTATACTGGAGATTCTCTCTGACCTCCTGTGCTGTAACCAGAAATTAAAGTGAGGGAAAGTCTCCTCCCAATCTGGGTGCCCCCTTATTTAAAGGGGTACTCCGATGGAAATAAGCCCCTTGCCCGCAGACCCCCACAACCACCGGGTCAGGGTTGTGGGGAAGAGGCCCTTGTCCCCACCGGCATGGGGACACCCTCCCAATGCCGAGGGCACGTGGCCTGGTGAGGCGCAGGGGGGGGGGGCGCTCGATCATCCCCCCCTTTCCTGTCCTGTCAGGCGAGTGCAAGGAACAAGGGTCTGGTAGGACTGTTAGGGGGGACCCCATGTTTTTCCCCCCATTTTTTGGGGCTGTGGTTGGTTCCCCCTTAAAATTCCTACCAGATATAAAGGGTTTGGTATGGATTGTAGGGGGAACCCCACACACTTTTTTTTGTTTGTTTTAACTTGGTGGAGGGTCCCTCCTAACATTCCTACCAGACCTAAAGGGTCTCATATGAATTGGGGGGGGAACCTCACGCTTTTTTTTTTTCATCTTCTGCAGACTGTATAAAAAAAAAAAATCATTTTGCTGCAACAAAATTTCGGCCAATAAACGAAATTCCGACCGGACTACCGCTAACTAATTTCGTCTGAATCCCGGAAATAATTCAATTTCGGACCCGAATCCGAAACGAAATAATGCAAAATCCGAATCAAAACGAAACGAAACTAAACAAATGTTTTGCTGGTGCACATGTCTAGTAACAAATAGTGTATTGATGCTTATGCCACCCCCAGGATTGCTGGCTATTCTTTACTTCTTTCATCCTGGAAAAAAACTTTTGCTATGCTAGCACTGCGTCAGGAGAGCCATGACTCTCCTACACACAAGCCATACTATCCGCCCCTTTCTACCCTTGTCCATTCACAAGACACTTTGTATTCTGTGAATGGGTTCATAGAATGCACAGCATTCTGTAAATGGACATCAGGAGAAGAGGGGCGGTCAAACAACGGTGTGGCATGTGTGTATGAGAGCCGTAGCTTTCCTGTCTTGGCACCAGAAGTATAGCGAAAGCTTCCTGGCATGAATGAAAGTGAAAAATTGTAAAGAACAGCTAACTATCCTGGAGGTGGCCTACACCTTATTGCACTTAATTATTTGTTACCCAGCAAATAAAAAAAAAAAAACTCCTGGAGTTCTGCAAGCAACAGCTTTCTAATTAGTATTAGTATGAAGAAAAGGAGATTGCACTACAACTGGCAGTCTGCCTCTCGGGTTACTGTTCTGACGAAAGAGATACCGGTACCACCCCAGCAGCACACACATCATTATAAGTCTACATTTACATATCTACATTTTTCATACAGTGTAATGCATGTTAGATGTGTTTTACATACATATTGCCATTCATCCTATGGAAGACAAACCTTGCTGGTAACCACAACAAAGGTCAGAAGATATTAGACTAAATACTAAACGAAAGTAATAAATAATAAACAGGAAAATTCAGTTATAATGATTTTAAACAAATATCCTTTATTGCCGAATATATTTTGTTTACTGGTGCTTACCTTTTTTGTTTTTTATTTTTCTACTGTGTTCTGATCCCTATGGAGTTGAGTACTCAAGGTTTCATGCAACCCAAGAAGCCAATTATTTTAAAATTTGTATCTCGAGCTTGAAAAGGGAACGGCTGGATTCAGAATGTGTCATCTAACTGTAAATTTCAAACTGCTTTTCTTATGTTCTTAATAAATTCGACAAGGACAGAAAGTGGGGTTTTGAGAGCACCAAACGAACTTACTCCACAAAGAAATTCATATAAAAAAGTTAGTTTTAATTAAATTCATTTAAAACAAAGGCTAGATATACAATCCAAATTAAAAACAGCTAATTAGATCGCTCCCTGTGTGCTCTCTCCATATGTCCCCTTCCTACAACATGATTAAGTCATAACAAAACAAAATAAGTGCATAGTTTAAGAAACAATCTGATATTACAGACGATCAAGGATAAGGGATAACAATTCACTAGAAGCTCAAATGCTGTATGAAGTTGCTGGAGGTTCATAAATGGAGGATCTGATACGACGTTTCAGGCACCCAGGCGCTTCTTCAGGTACAGGAGGTATCTGTGTAATTAGTAAAATATGAAAATCATAGTGAACGTTCTTAATTCTCCTTAGAGTAATGTAACAATATAGTACATAGTCAAATTAACTTTTGCCTACCAATTTTTGTGCTCTGATGTGTATATGTGTCTGGGCGGGTCTGGTCGAGCTACGCCCCTGCGTAGTCCCCCCTAAAAATAGGAGGGGTACTATGTCGGTCAAATCCCAATATTGAGTTTTAGGGGTAAGAAAAAGGAAGAAAAACACAACCTAAAAGAGGAAAAAAGAAGAAGGGGGGTATAATAATAATAGGCCACAGTCGATATGCCCAGAGGTCTGATACCGGCCGGCCAGAATAAAAGGTCGGCAGCGCCCGATTATGTACTCTTGGGGGTAAATAAGCTCCGGATGGTTGCCCATATATTACACGGAGAGAAAAGAAGTGTAAATGACCACAAACCAGACACATCACAAACAGTAAAACTTATGAGTGATGTTTTCTCAATCTAACTAGACTGTGGCCTATTATTATATTAATAATAAATTCTAGGGGTGTGGCACCTACTATTCGGACCCAGATCGAAAACCATCCTCTATATGTTCTTAATAAAAACAAATAAAGAAAATGAAGCCAAATTGAAAAGCATATTACATGCTACATAATCTGCACAAACCTTTATAAAGTTACCTTGGTGTCATTTATGTTTCTGTCACTGCAGTAAACATTTTTCAAACGTGCTTATTACTTCAAAGTTCTCATTTGCCAATAGTACAGAGTTTGAAAACCTGGAGCGTGACTACACATCATTATGTCTAATGAAGACCTTATAACGGAACTCCAATTTTATTGAGAATAAAAAAAACAACTAAGCCCCTGTAGGCAAGCCATATACCTTTCAAGGTTTTTAGAAAATCTTTTTGCAGAATGATAACATTCTCTATTCTCTGAATACCTTTTCTTTACTACGACCTTTATCAAGTTGGTTTCTATGTGGAGGGGGTCTGCCTTCATTATATCCACCTAGTGCAATCTCAATTTTGCAATGAGGAAAGCTGCAGTGTCCCTTGATGGTTGAAATGTTCTCACCAATAATGAAACTCCTATTACAATGGATGGCTGGAATTTGACATTTATCTCCCTGCTGACTGGAAAGCAGTGAGACATTCACGCATGCAGCAAATGAAATTTCTATGGTATACAGAAGGCCTCCAGATTGAAAAAGTACAAGGAAGCAACATCTGTATCTGTAGATTCAAATGGAAATGTTATTTTCTGTTTTTCAACCACTTAAAGACCGGGGGGAATGTTTCAAAGCACTTGCGCCAGTTTTAGCCTTTTAGGCAGATAACACTTATTTATTGGTGCACAGCATACCAACATACCTCCCAACTTTAAAACTGAGAACGAGGGACACCTTAGCATGGAAAAATATGTGGTACAATGCATTCGCTGTGCCAACAAATTGGGCTACTTTGCACTAAATATTCAGCTTCAAGAGACACTGTCACTCTGCCAATTCAGGGCAAGGTGACCGTGTCTGTGAAAAGGCCCCACTAACCTAATAACCCCAGGTTGTTTGGGAACGCTGATCTGTCATTACAACTGGGCGGAGCGAGCCGTGAGATCACGGCTGGCTCCATTCAGCTGTCATTTGCGTGGAGTTCGACTTCGGCCGACCTTTCTCCGCGCTTTGACTGTAACTTCGGCTCAGTCGCGCCAAAGCATATGCCTTCGGCTGCTGTACGGGCTACTGTGAATAGCCTGTACAGCAGCCCTTCGGTTCGCAGAAGTGGCCGAAGAGATCCGAAGGATCAGCCGAAGCTGGATCCTTTAGCTTTTTAGTGAATAACCCCCTAAGATTGAGTTTGGTTTGCATGTTGCGATTCAGTACATACGTTTGCCTGGATTTCACATTCTGCTGAGGAGGTCAGCAGTGAGAGCCTACATCTTTCTTTGGGTTTCATCAGCAGTCCTGTAGACAGAATGTAATAACCTTCTCTGATAATACATGAGTAAATATTAATATATTGAAACAAGTGCATGCAGAATCCCCGCAAAATGTATTTGTTTAGTATGAAGAATAAATAACTATGTTACTGATCCCGATGTGATGAGTTTTCTGAATCTTTCTGGCTTTTTAAAGTACTATTTTTCCCATAAATCTCATAAGCATTCTCTATACTCCTGTTGTTGCACAATACCTTTGTATGGCGTGCAATAAAAACATGGTATTTATCACATGCTAACAGGGCCATCTGCAGGCCAGCCTATGAGATCATGTGACTGCTCTGGGAGACACACAGGAAGTTGCACTAAGGAACTGAAAAGTAGCTATACAATATACTTGGATACAGGAAACAAAGGGACGTAGAAGTTAAAGCAAGCTGACATTCAGGACAGGCGAAGTCATAGCAGAAGCATGAACTTAATCCCAAGCTTCTCTTCAGAGACCTGGATCCTGCTAGCTGTATTTTGGGTTCTCTTCTTAATGTGAGTACAAAATAGTCTGACACTGTATGCCCAACTACTATACTATACATACAACTAACATGCATGTAGTTACAACAATAGGATACATGTGTACAAACACTAGACAGCACACAGATACATGATTACCTACAACACTCTGCTGCTGGGCCTGTGGGTTTAATAACTTCCAGTGGACCGGGTGCAAATATATTTCACATTATGATGTGATTTACAGAATTAGGAAACAAAGTGCAGAAATGATCAGTGATTTGTACACCCGTCATGGTCATGTAGGCTTTCAGTGCAATATATTAAAGATGTTTTACTATAAAGGGGTATATCGATGTGGGGAGAGACCCAGGGCTAAGAAGAAATAAGAAGGGCACACACAGGACGAAATTTGGCCGGTTCCCGATAAACTGGCTAAAATTCGCACAATGGGTGCTGCTGTCAGCAAGACTTCCGCCTGACATCCCTCAATCAGCTGATTAAAGGGGCAGGTGGAAAATTCTCGGGCGAACAGAGCTGGCAGCCAATCTGCTAGCTCCATTTGGGTATTTTCACAGCAGCCAGTCAGACTACAATGCAAACAGGGTATTCCTCCATACATGCTCCTAAGTATTGATGGAGAAATCTGTTTTTTCATTCAGCCCATGGTTTGAACGAAAAAAAATACACGTGTATACCACAAAAATGTTGGATTAAGGTGCCCATACACCTTACGATTATCGGACTAAACTTTTCGTCCGATGATCGAACCGTCGTACGATTTTCGTACGACGGCCCCATCCTGCCCCGATTATCGCAAGGTTCAATCAGCGGTAGTTAGAAAAAAACACCTGGACGACTTGCGGTAATTGACCGCAATTATTTTCGTTTGCGCATGCGCAGTGTTAATCGTACGACATTTGACGTACGGAAACGCCACCAACCATGCGAACATCGTACGATCAACCAAAGTTTTCAAACATGCTTGACCGTCAAAAGTCGTACGATTGTACAGTACTATCGGTCGGGCACTCTATTCACACGTTACGATTGTCGTACGAAAAGTCGATTGCATACGATTATCGTACGATAATCGTAAGGTGTATGGGCACCTTTAGTGATTGTGTTGCTAGGTATTCACCGTATTAACCTTCTGACACACCTATACTATGCTAGGCAGAAAATAAATATACTGTATGTGCTCTTTGTTATGATAAGCCTTGGTTGATATGAGGTGCATAGTGTCTGGAACACGGACTCAAATATATTACTTACATCAGGGGTAGGCAATCCACTTCAGCTGTTGTGGAACTAAAAGTCCCATGAGACATTGCAAGACTGACAGCCACAACTTCCTGGGGAATGATTAGTTGATTGAGGGATGCCGGGTGAAAGGGTGCCGCACCCACTGTGCGAGTTTTGGCCGGCTCATCAGCATTATAGGATTTGTATCTTAAGCACAGCTTGAATGACAAGATTGCTTACCCCTGACCTACATTGTATTTCTGCGTGAAGGTGGCCATACACTGTACAACCATCGCAAGACCTTAGTCTTCCGATGGTTGTAAAGGGATTAAAAAAACGTACGATCTGCCTATCTTGGACAGGCAGATCGCACTCTCGATCATCGCAAGCCCGCCCCCCTGAGGGGCGGGCTTCCGATGACCGCAATGCTGAACGGGCAGTGTGCGCGTGCGCACACCGGCCCGTTCAGCATTTGTCTTCCGAGCACCGTTCTAACCAGCCGAGAATCGTACGATTCCCGGCTGGTTTTCGAACATGCTGGTTCGACGGAAGACGTGCGACCGTACAGTAGAAACGGTCGCACGTCTCCGTTCACACTGCTCGATTCTCGTACGATCGCGGGATTTCCCGCGATTCTCGTACGAGAATCGAGCAGTGTATGGGCACCTTGAGGGTTCAGATCTGCCCCTTTTTCATGGGGTCCCAGGTCCTGTGTATTATCCCACCGGGGATATTTGAAACCTGTTTTAATATCATCAGTGATGTAATCAAGCTCAGCTGCATGCTCCTAGCTTTTAGAGAGATCAAGGGGGGAAAGGTTGAAATCAGGTGCACTAGCTAGAGCTGATGTTCTACCTTGATAATGTTTCATTAATGTGGCACACAGGCGCACTTATTTACATTTGCTTATCACTCATTGAGGGGAATTTATCAAAACCGGAGCAGACAAAATCTGGAGCAGCTTTGCATGGCAACCAGTCAGCTTCTTTCTTTTATTTTCAAATGTTAACAGATCAAACTGAAGAGAGAAGCTGATTGGTTGCCATGGGAAACTGCTCCAGATTTTGTCTGCTCCAGTTTTGATAACCCCCGCCATTGTGTTTTCTTATATATGTTATATTTCCAAATGGATATTCTGATTTAGATGTAATTTAGGTAGATATATCTAGACACCATTTAAATAGAATCGCTGTGTTCAAGCAATTATAATGTAGTCTATAGGCGTAGACATGAAGGGGTAGTAAGTGTGTTATTTGCAGCATTACTAGGTAAAAATAGATTTAAAAAAGCCTGGAAAAAACTAAAGCAATGCAATATATTACATTTTTGTTTTTTATGTTTTAGATACAATTTAATTATTGCTAAGCAAGTCTATGCTAAATTATGGCATTTCACAAGGGGAGTACAAACTGCCACTGTAGCGTCTGAATGAAATATTATTATTTGTATTATTTGTAAGCTGTATCTTTTCTGTTTATTTGTAAACTCATATTTGTTGTTTTTGCTCAGTTACGGCATCTGGCCTTATGGAGTATTTAAGAAGCTGGGAGTACCTGGCCCTTTTCCACTTCCATATATTGGAACATTTCTGGGATATAGAAAGGTAAGTATGTGATTTATCAGCATCCAGAGTTTTACACTCTAACGCCCTTTTCACACGAGCGATCAGATCGGGTCAACTTTTCAAGCAGACTCAATCGGATGCCCAATACTGCACTATAGGCAGCCGGGTGTAAATGAATGGGTATCCCTTTACACCTGGTTATCCCAACTCTTGCCAGGCCCAGAAAAACAAATGGATCAGAGAGGTTAAAATATGTGTCATTGATCTTAACATGAGGTATGGATCAAGGACAAGCAGCAGGAGAGCTGTCAGCATAGTCAGTACACTACTACAGCATAGTCAGTGCTACTGGAGAGCAGTGCTGGGGGTAAAAGTTAAGTAGCACTAATCATAACCAGAATTATATTTTATATTATGATAAAATCAATAATACTCTTCAGGCCTAATACAAACTTCTTTAAAGTCTAGATGTATTAAACCTTTTTTGTAGAACTACAAACCTCAGCCCTCCTATAAAGTTTTAACAGCTCTGGGATTTATGACAGCATAATGGGGTCAACTATTACTCCAGGCCCCATACAATCTGCATGGGCTGCTTTGGCTTTTGTTGCACCACTGCCCTCTGGGTTGCCCTCTTTATTTGTACTGTCACTCCCTAAATGACAAGTATCAAAGGAAGAATCAGTAACTCTGGTTGGACTATTTACTAACCTCTTGAAAGCCCAGCATCAGCCAAACAGTATTATTTTATATAGAGCATTGCAATGTTAGTGCCTCTGTCAGGTTTTTATTGATGTTTGGGTCCAATTTGGGGGAATTTTCCTTCACTTCCTGTCAGGACAGAAAAAGGATAACAAAGACTAAAATAAACCCCTTGGCACCAGCTCCTGTCGGCCCTTTAAGGGGTTCTGAGCGATGGGAGGCAGATGTGGGCTTCCTGATCATATGTTTGCTATGTCTGTCACAGGGGTCACATGATGGATTCCCGATCATAAAAAATGACAAAGAGTTGTCAGTGACAGTTCGGTCACTGTGCTGGGAATGTGGGCGCACTCAGCACAGAACAGCGAGCCAATACTTTTGACAATGACACTGGAAAAAAAAAAAACTCAGTATGTGCAAAGTGACATACAATAATATGTATTTCTGTAAATATGCGTATTTGTTTTGTGCTCATATGTTTGCTTTTTTTGCAGGGCATGGTACAGTTTGATGTGGAATGCTTTAAAAAATATGGAAAATTATGGGGGTGAGTGCAAAACTCCATAATAAACATTTTGTTTTAAAGGGAAAGCCCGCCTTTTTGAAAACAAACAAACAATAAATGCACACTTTTTCATAAAAGAAAAAAAGTGCATTATTTTTTTTATATTGGAGCCAATAAAGCATTGCAACTACAATGAGTGGACTGTGGGTGTCATGCTTTGACTCCTGCAGACTCTTACCTCCTGTCCATGTCCGTACCTCAGTATGGACTTTCAGTAACATGGATGGGAGGAAGAATGAATGTGCTGCAAGTGTGTTGACGTTACTGCACTTTAATTCACTTGAGAACTACACGTCCCTCTGTCGCAGTGGCCGAGTGCCGCCAGGTGTCGCCACGCATACTCGTGATGATGCCACACGCACTTAACTGAGAGGAGGGGGGTGTTCATCCGGCGGGATATGTTATGCCGCCGGGTCCAATCCTCTTTCGTGCAGATGTCGGGCTCTCAGTCCATGACCGAGTGCCCAACTGCCTGTGCAGGGAGAGAGCTCTCCCCCTCAACTACCGACTGAACAACCAGAGGTAACATGTAGAGATGCAGAGTTGTTGGAGAAATTTAAAATCCTGTTACAAAAAGAATTACAGATTGTTACAGATAAATTGGCCTCTTAACTCTCCAGGGACATTAAGGAACTGGGATTCAGGATACACGATATTGAGAATGGATGATGTTGTCACTGTGATAGAGGCACATGACATAGCAGGACTGTGATATAGTGAAAGAGGATCTCTTTCAGGCTGTGTTAAAAATAGAGAACATGGAAAATAGAAGTCGGCAGGGTAATTTACGAATCCGGGGTATCCCAGAACGGGTAGAAAACCTTGAAACGGTAATCTCCACTATACTTTCAGATTTACTCCCGGGATACCCGGCAGATAAATTAGAAATAGATTGAGTACATAGAACAATGGGGCCCAAACGAGCCGATGGAACCCCAAGAGACGTCATTTTGACACCAACGTTTCACAAAACAAAAGAAGCCATTGGACAAGCAGCCTGGGATAAACGGTCTCTTAAATGCCAGTACTTTAAATACCAAATCCACGCAGACCTCGCTCCCCAAACCTTGCAACGTCGCAGAACTTTGAAACCTTTTTTAACAGTATTACAACAGCATGGTATTAAATATAAGTGGGGGTATCCACTTAAAACCCTTTTTAATTATAATAATCGGACACACTCCTTTTCTTCACCTGATGAGGCGGGACCCCTACTTGAACGTTTACAATTAATGGCTTCAAATGATGAATCGATATCTACATCTTCACAATCTTCAAGAGGGAAACGACTAGCCCCCGTTTGGGAGAAATATACTAAGAATTGCCGTGGGCGGCTGGAGGGTCTTCTTTCCTCCCAGAGAACACAAGATGCTCCTGGAGATTAATTTTAAAATATTGATAAAGACATACGTTATGATAAGATCTTATCTCAGCTGAAGAGCAAGACAGAGAACCTATAATTGTATAAAACATATGTGCTTCCCCCCCTTTTTTGTGCTTTGGAGTTTGCCATGCCTGGGTGGACAAGGTGCCCCCTCTTAAAGGGAAATAATGACATATATTTCCTATTCCTGCTTGGCAGGGTTTATGCTGGACAGCATAATTTTGTGTAGTGTTTTTTGTTTTGTCTTGCCTGTTTATGATGCCCTTTTTGCATTATGTTTTTTTTCTTTTTTTTTCATCATGTTAAGACACTGAGATCATTCAACGAGATATTGGAGGCACCACTGCATAATTTTCTAAAAGAGTTTATTGTGCATGGTTCTATTCTATTGTTAAAATGGCATCCACCGAATTTTGTATAATATCGCATAATGTGCAGAGACTAAACTCCCCACAGAAGCGAACATCGGCATTTAATTATTTTCCATCACACCAAGCAAATGTAATATGTTTACAGGAAACAAGTCTTTCAAATTCTTTTAATCAAAAATGTATACATAAAAGTTGCCCCCAAGCTTTTCAATCAAATTTCATAGAAAAAAAGAGAGGGGTTTTAATAGCATTTCATAAAAATACACCTTTTCTTTGTTCAAAGGAGATAGTAGCGGGAAGATATATAATCCTAATAGGTAATATTTTTGACACTATAGTAACACTTGTCACATATTATGCCCCGAACACTAGACAAACGCGTTTTTTTACCCTATTTGTTGGGAGTAGTTGATAAACACATGCAAGGCACTTTATTGATGATGGGAGACTCCAACCTGGTTTTAGATGTTAGACTGGACAGGTTGGAATCTCGAGCTGCACTTTCCACTTCTTATAATCACTCTGCACTTTTTCGTACAATGTTAGCTGAACACAACTTGATAGATATATGGAGGGGAAAAAAAACCCACAACTCGCGAATATACTCACTATTCTTGTCCTCACAAATGTTCTTCTCGAACATTTGTGAGGACATCACTTTTTTACACACCCAAGTTTTCTTCCTTCAGTTCTAAAGGCCCGTATTCTTTCGACTTCGTGGTCAGATCACTCTCCTTTATTGATAAAATGTATATCCTTTTCCCCTGTACCCCCACATTTTAATTGGAGAATGAACGACTCTCTTCTTACATTCTCAGGATCAGTAGAGCAAATAAAAACATTTATTTCCTCCTTTTTTAGGGAAAATTAGGGATTGGTCTTGTCTCCGATCTCTCTATGGGAAGCATATAAGACAGTTCTGCGGGGAGAACTTATAAGCTTGGCATCTAGACGAAAGAAGGAGAGAAGTAAAAACATTTTAGACCTTACTTCCTGCCTAGAAGGATTAGAATCCGACTGGAGAAACAATCTCACAACGGCCACTCGAAGAAAAATGTATTCTGTTAAAACAGAAATTAACCTGCTATTAAATAACGAAGTAGAATAGCAGATTCGTTGGTCAAAACGCATGTTTTATGCATGCGCTAATAAACCTGAGCCAATGATGGCGAATATGCTGAATTTAAAACCAAAAACGCCATATCAGATTAGACTACATCTCCCAGGTGGCTCGACTACAGCTAATCCCGCAACAATTGTATCTAGATTTACTTCTCTCCTTTCTAAGATATATGGTAAAACTTCTGGGTTCCAACCTCATTTAGCTGATCAGTTAATGTCGAGAGTGTCGATACCTCCTTTCACTAAACACATGACAACTATTATGGATGCAGATATTTCCACATTGGAAGTAAAACATGACATTAAAACGTTAAAGACACATAAGACACCAGGTCCAGACGGATTTTCAGCCTTGTATTATAAAAAGTTTTCAAATAGTTTGGCACCTCACTTAGTAGCAGTGTTTAATCACCTGAAAGGGGGTCATGCTTTTCACCCCTCCTCCCTGTTGGCTCACATAGTTATGATTCCTAAACCGGGGAAAGACAATACGGACCCTCTTAACTATAGACCAATTTCCTTATTGAACATAGACATAAAGTTATTTTCAAAAATTTTAGCTACACGATTAAATCAATTCTTGCCAGCTCTCATTCATAGAGGCCAAGTAGGTTTTGTTCCTTATAGCCAAGCATCAGATAATACACGTATAATTGCACATCTTATACATTATATGCATGATGCGAAAATTTCACGTATGCTATTATCTCTAGACCTTCAAAAAGCATTTGACCTTGTCTCTTGGCATTATTTATTTCATATTTTGTTACAGACCTTATATCGAGGTTCTTCTGCTTCAGTACGTTGCCTTCACTATAACTCGCCCCCATTTTCTATACTAGGAGGTACTCGCCAAGGATGTCCCCTCTCTCCACTTTTGTTTGTTCTCGCAATAGAGCCACTGGCCTGTCTTATACGCACTAATATGGATGTGCGAGGTGTAGAGAAGGGACACATAGAGTATAAACTCCACATGTTTGCAGATGATTTGATGCTCACACTGACTAATCCTCACATTTCCCTTCCTAATCTTTTTCCTGACTTTTTTGCAAAAATTTCCAATTTAAAGGCCAATGAGACTAAGTCAACTGCCCTCAATATCTCATTGCCACACACTGAAGTTAATGCATTACAACAAAATGTTCTTTTTGAATGGAGGTCCTCGCATTTATTATATCTTGGAATTAACATTCTGAAAAATGACCAATCTTTTTATAAAGTCAATTATGTTGCCCTGTTTAGACAAATGCAGGAATTATTGGCAGCCACGACGAGACATAAACTCTCATGGATGAGTAGAATTAACGCAATTAAAATGTCAATATTACCAAAAGTACTTTATCTGTTTCAAACTACAGTATACCAGTTTGTATTCCAAAGTATATCATTCACTCATTTCAGAACAGAGTTTCTTCCTTTGTATGGAACAATAAGCGCCCCAGGGTTCACAAAACTACAATGTATATGCACAGGAAACAGGTGGAGCTAGGCCTCCCAAATTTCTATAAATATTATCAAGCAGCAAAAATAGTTCCGTTAATACATTTTTATACGACCCTATACCGACCACTCTGGGTAGACTTAGAAGAATACACCTGTTCCATTAAGGGCCATTCCTTTGCCGGCTTGGCTACGTCCAAAAAAAATGAGCCCCATCTTGAAACATATGATTAAAATATGGGATAATACAAAACATTATAGTAAATCCCAGTCCTCTCATATACCGTTACTTCCTATTGTAGGTAACCCTTTATTTCTACCGGGAATGGGAAAGACAAAGTCCTTTGCTTGGTGGACCTCTCAAAAGGTGACGTGCCTATGTCATTTGGTGGAGGACGGCACAATTTGTACTTGGTCCTATTTTTTAAATAATTTACAAGCTCCAGATACGGAATTTTTTAGATATCTACAACTTAGACATTGGGCTGTATCAACGCTCCCTAAAGTTCCATTTATATCAGAATTAACGGTTTTTGAGAATATCTGTCTAAACCGTCCTACAACTCCTAAACTTATTCAATACTCTACTCCCAATTAAATAGGTTATCGACGCCCGACAACCATAAATATGTACAGAATTGGGAAAGGGAGCTTGGAATGGCTAGACAACCAAAGGAACGGCAACAAATCTGGCAATCAATAGCTACTTGTTCTATAAATGTAATATCTCTAGAAACGGCATTTAAAACTTTAACTAGATGGTACTTGGTGCCCTCAAGGTTGGCTCATCTTCACTCGACACACTCGGATCTTTGTTTCCGAAGATGTGCCTCCGGGGGAGATGTTATTCATACCTGGTGGACATGCCCAAAATTGGATAGGTTTTGGTCGAAAGTATTTCAACTGATTGGGGACCTCTTCTTGGTCAATGTGGAAAGAGACCCATGGGTAGCCCTATTACATTTTAAATCCTCTTCCTTTACCAACCTACAACACAAACTGGTGATTTATGTTATGTTGGCGGCCAAACAGACCATTGCCCCGACCTGGAAGAAAGCATATGTGATTTTTAGAGATGTAAAAAAAAGAATGGATTCCTTTTTTTTTCAGTTTCCACTGAAAGTGTGACTTTTTTGTAATAGACATGATTTAAGTGTCTTTATTTATTTATTTTGTTTTTTGTTGTTTTGATTTGTGTTGTTGTTTATCCTGTGCTGTTTTGATGATTTGGTTGGGTTGTTCTGATAGTGATGATATGGCAGTGAGTGTTCAGCAGGGAGGAATTGATTATGTTTATCCTTGTAGACTATCGATGCCAATGTTTGTATATGGATGTTTTATAATATAAAATTAATAAAATCTTTGAAAGAGAACCACTGCTCCAGGTTGCATGTGACCATTAATATAGAATGTTTACATGTATGTTGTACAAAGTAATTTTATTGCTGAATATTTATGTATTATGTTTTTTGATGCCTCACAATTCAGTATCAGCAGTAAATCATTTTTGTTGTATATTGTGTTGCAGACTGTATGATGGAAGACAAGCAGTTCTTGCAATTCTAGACCCTGTTATAATAAAAACCATTTTGGTAAAAGAGTGCTACACTAATTTCACAAACAGACGGGTAAGTGTCCTTGGGGTAAATGATTAAACTACAATTTCTACTAAACACCAGCAATAGCGCAACATAAAATCATATTGCAATCAGTCTGTATATTGACAGGGGGGGCTTTATGGATTTAAAGAACATCACATAATCCCCAACTGTCTCAATAAACCATAGTGCCATTCCAGATCCGTCTACGCTTGAACTCCACTGTCAGGCGCAGCTTATCAGAAAAAGTGGACAGCGGCACACCGACATATTGCAAAAGCGGCTTTTTTATTGATTCATGAAATCGATTACACAGCAGATGAACAAAGAGACTTCTCAATAGTTAGATTACAGATATAATACAGATAAAGGATCCCAACTTGTTATACAAAACATTTTGAAACCGTAAAAAAAACTTTTTAATCATTACTGAATTCATGAGAATGCCACACACAGGTATCCACCAGCTGAGATTTCCAACAAGTGTAGTGTAAGGAAAAGTATTGAGTAATTTCATGAGAAGTTAAAAATAAAATCAGTGTGGGTTTTACAGGGATAATCTTTAATTAAAATTTGGACTTCTGCTCTAGACTATGGAAAAGTATTACTGGATTTACTGATATAGTGAAAAACCAACTGCCTTTATATATTCAAGCACAACAGGGGACTGTTTTCTTCTTGTTTTTGTTTCAATTAGATGGGTCAATGTGTGTTTAAACTATATCTAAAGTTATCTTTTGAGATAGAGTGGGGAAGGGTTAAAACCTCTGCCAGGTTTATATTGTTGCCTGCATCCCATCTGGCAGGTGTGTAACTACAAATCATGGGGCCCCATAGCAAAACGTTGGGTCCTTTCCCCCAAATACACTTCACTGCAGCAGCTGGCAGTGCCAACTGTGAAAATATGTGTCATTGATCTTAACATGAGGTATGTATCAGGGACAGGTAGCAGGAGAGCTGTCAGCATAGTGTGTACTAATGGAGAACAGTGCTGGGGGTAAAAGTTAAGTAGCACTAATCATAACCAGAATTATATTTTATATTATGATAAAATCAATAATACTCTTCAGGCCTAATACAAACTTCTTTAAAGTCTAGATGTATTAAACCTTTTTTGTAGAACTACAAACCTCAGCCCTCCTATAAAGTTTTAACAGCTCTGGGATTTATGACAGCATAATGGAGTCAACTATTACTCCAGGCCCCATACAATCTGCATGGGCTGCTTTGGCTTTTGTTGCACCACTGCCCTCTGGGTTGCCCTCTTTATTCATACTGTCACTCCCTAAATGGCAAGTATCAAAGGAAGAATCAGTAACTCCAGTTATAGTACTTTTTAGATTGGGCCAGCTCCAGGAATGTCTGCTGTGTGCATAACCACTTGAAGACCAGGCCATTTGTTAGCATTCAGAGCTGCAGTACTTTGACATTTATTCAGTCATGCAACGCTGTACTGAAATTACCAAATTTTGCGCTCCATAAGACGCACTTTCCCCCCCAAAAGGCGGGCAAAAATGTCTCTGCGTCTTATGGAGCGAATGTGTGAGAGCTGAGGCGGCGGGGCTGACAGTGTACCCAGGGGCGTGGAATCCCTATCGCCCAACGCCCAGATATGCAGTTTCGGACGCCCGGCGAGTAGTTTTTTTTGTATATTTAGCCCTGCTCCTGACAAGCAGAGCTAAATGTATAGTGTGCCACCTGTCTCAGCTGTCAGGAACTACACAGAACCCTACCCTCCCTAGGTGTGCCTTATGGTCAGGTGCGTGTTATGGAGCGCAAAATACGGTAATTTTATTCCATTTTTGGGGGGACAGATAGAGCTTTCTTTTGGTGGTATTTATTCACCACTGGGGGTTTTATTTTTTACTATATAACAAAAAAGTCCCGAAAATTTTATTAAAAAACCCGGTTTCCCTATGACATTTTATAAAACATTTATTATCACCCCAATTTAGGTATTATTGTGCTGTATGTATAAATGTCACTAAGGTTACAAAGTACTATATGTAAACAAAAGTTTTCCCCTTTTCTGATAAAATTAAAATCAAAGATTTTTTTTGGTTTGATACAGAATTTTGGTCTTAATGGCCCCTTTGACTCAGCCCTCACAATTGCTGAGGATGACCAGTGGAAAAGGATTCGTACAGTGCTCTCACCGACGTTTACCAGCGGGAAACTGAAGGAGGTAAATGTTATATTACTCAGCTTCTGTATATCTGTTAGGTCTCGTTCACACCTAGGCGTATTGCATATGCGCGACCGTCGCACTTTTTTTACTGCGATTCGCGGTAAAAAAGTAGCGCGACGAACGCGCGTTTCCGAAGGCTACTTGGCTGTATCCCAATGGAAACGCGCAACAAAACGGCCCAAAGTAGTACATGTACCTTTTCAGGCGTGGGCCGTTTTGTAGCACGTTAGGGACGGGCGGAAAAACGCCAAGGTGGGAACGAGACCATTGAATACAATGGGATTTATATTTTTGAGCGTTTTGTAGAGCGTTCGTCGAGCCTAGAACGCGCTACAAAACGTTCAGGTGTGAACGAGGGCTTAAACCAGTGGTTCTCACCCTTTCTAGGGCGGGGACCCATTGGTAACATTTGCCAAGTTAAGGTGACGGAGCACTGGACTCTGGCCTTAGTAACGCACTGGACTCTGGCCTTAGTAATGCACTGGACTCTGGCCTTAGTAACGCACTGGACTCTGGCCTTAGTAACGCACTGGACTCTGGCCATAGTAACGCACTGGACTCTGGCTTTAGTAACGCACTGGACTCTGGCCTTAGTAACGCACTGGACTCTGGCCTTAGTAACGCACTGGACTCTGGCCTTAGTAACGCACTGGACTCTGGCCTTAGTAACGCACTGGACTCTGGCCTTAGTAACGCACTGGACTCTGGCCTTAGTAACGCACTGGACTCTGGCCTTAGTAAGGCATTGGACTCTGGCCTTAGTAAGGCATTGTAATATTTTTAGCAGTAAAACAGCACGTTTGTATGAAAATACAAACCAAACCAAACATCAAGCGTCACGCAGCTTTCAGCAGCAGCAAGTCAGCAGCGGCAGCAGAGGCTGCGACTGCTGCTGCGACATCTGTTGGCCGGGGAGTAACTGACACTGCTGTGCTAGAAGGAGGCTGAGGAGCCTCTCACCTAGCGCAGCAGAAGGTACACGGCAACCTATTCAACAGGGGGTTGTGACCCACAGGTTGAAAACCGCTGTCAAACTGTTTCTATGTGGGCTGCTATTTTAAGATTGGTGAATAAATAATGTTTTCTACAGGATATTATTAACTTTTGCATTTCTGCACAGATATAGAATTCAATTATTCTGAGCTGAAATCTCTACTCTTTAGATGTTCCCGATAATGAAGGACTATTCTACCATGCTGGTCAACAACATTCAAGTTTATGTTGACAAAGATGAGCCATGTCCAATGAAGGAGTGAGTCTATTAATTATAAATAAAATCTTATTAAAGCTGAACTCCAGGGAGCTATTAAAAAAAGAACACCAATTGAATTATTAAATAATGTATATATTAAAAAAAATCACTGTATTTCTTTAATGTGACTAAATAAATGTCTTGAAATCAGTCTGCCTTAATGGCTTGTACGGCAGCACTCCACTACAACACATGTGTGCTTACAGTGTACATGCTGACAAGCCCAGAATGAGCAGGTAGATGACTTCATCATTACATCTTTGCTCTTCCATTGTCCAATCAGCACCTTGAGGGTGCTGCATTGAAATGGTAAATATAAGGCTGTTCTGTCAGCCAAAGGATTCCTGGATCAGAAAGTTTACTGTAGAGAATTCAGATTCTTTAGCGGGGAAAACATTTTCTATATATGCACTTTAACTGCCTCCGGGCCGGCCGTAGTAAAAAAACGGCCGGCCAGGAGCTCTCTAGATCTGAGCGGGCGTCTTTAGACGTCCGCTCAGACACGCCCCCTTGCGCGCGC